ACACAAAAGGTTTCAATGCTTCCTTTATTTATGGCGGGGTGGGGAACCTTTTTTGGGTCGGAGGCCACTGACCCACAGAAAAATCCGTTGGGGACCACATAAGTGAGAAGCAAAAAAAACGCTCCTCCCTCCCCCCCCCCAAACCCTCTCTTGTGGCCCCCAACTGAGACATCTCACTCCTCTGGTGCTCCAGTCCTACAAGGTGAGGGGAAGAGACAAAGAGGAATGAGGTTCAAGGTTTCCCATAGGCCAGATTTATTTTTCTGGGATGCCAGAGCTGGTGGATTTTGTGGACCCCTTTAGGCTCTGGGGTGGGGACAAAAAGAAGGGGTTCAGTGTGCGGGACAGGGCTATCAGTGAGTGGGATAAGGATGGGGGTGCAAGATTTGGGCAGGAGGTGGGACACAGCAGGGGTTGAGGGTACAAGGTCTGGGTGGGAGGTAGGGTGCAGAAGCAGGCTGGGAGTAGGCTGTCTGGCAAGCAGAGAGAGAACAAGAGCAAGGGAGGGTGCAGTATGTGGCTAGGAGGGAAGGTACAGGAGCAAGGCAAAATTTAGGAGCAAGCTGGGGGTTTGAGGTCTTGGCAAGGGAAGAGTGCGGGGATCTGAGCATGAGGAGGGACACTTACTTGGCTTCAATGCCCCGTTGCAGCGGGGAAAGCCTCTGGACAGCGTGTCACTGCCCTACTCTTCCCCCAGTGAGGTGGGGAGGGGGAAAGGAGCTCAGCTCCCTCTCTGGCCAGCAAGTAGCTCCTTGCCTCTCCACTCCATGACTGTCCAGTTCATTTACCTTGCCAGAGATGTTGGCTCCCAGCGTCCCCCCACAGCAGAACTCTCACTTCACAGCCTAAGAGGCAGGCCTGCTCTCCCCCTGCACTGTTCCAGGCCCTGAGCTCTGTCCGCTCCCTGGCATGGGTTAAGCCATGAGCAGTCCCTGGGGTCTGCTCTTTTCACAGGCTTGCCTTGTGGGGAGGGGTCACACTTTACCAGTTGCCCCCAGGTCCTATGATCTCTGAGCATGACCCCATTGCACCCCAGTCTCCAATTCTCCCATTGCCTCCTCACCCTGGCCCCTGCTTCCCCCGCCCCTAGACCCCACCCTGGCCCAGTTCTGCGAGGGATCCCTGCGCCACCCATAGTGTCAGACAGGGAGCAGGGCCGGCTCTCGAGGGCACGGGGGGTGGACCCTGTTGCTTCCTTCTCCCCCAGTCCTCCCACTGCCTCATTGCCAGCCCGCGACACCCCAGATCCCTCCTGCCCATCTCGCCTGGTGGTGGCTGCTCAAGGACAATCCTGGCCAGGCCCCAAGGGCAGGGAACCTGTTCCCTCTCCCCGCCCACATGGGTCTCTGCATGCCAGCGGGGCTGGGGTGGGTGGAACAGCAGCAGCACACAAGCAGGGGCAGGACCTCAATCCCACAGCTCTGCACGGGGTCCCTGGGCTGCCTGGTGGAAGCGGGTGGGGAGCTGGGGCGGCTCTAGGGGGTACCAGGGGGCGGATGCAAGTGAGGATCTGGGTCTGGGCGGGGCTTTCTTCACCTCCCACACGCCCAGAATCCAGGGAGGGTGCTCTAAGCCTCACAGCTGTGCAGGCTCCCCAGTGCGTGGGGCAGAAGGGAAGGGGGGGGGCTGAGTTTGAGGCACGGACCACTAGTGGTCCATGGACTACACTTTGAGAACCACCATGCTAAAGTCTTTCAGAACTGAACCACCACCAACCTACTGCCAGAAACCTGCACCACAATGGCTTTTACCACCTGTACCACACAAGAAACTGCTCTCCCGGGGAGCAGTATCCCTCCATCATTGTCCTCCACACGTCCCATCACGAACAAGGGTCTGTCTTGCTCTTTTCTTGTGCTTTTGGACTAACTGTAATTCCTGTTTGGATCTCTTCTGCCCTGGGATACTCACATTGCCACTGACTAATGGAGTAACTCTGGGCAGGTATGATTGAGCAGAAGCCAACTCAAGCTGCCTTGACAGCTGCCTGAAATTGCACCATGCATGTGAATGAAGACATAACAACATCAACATCAATAAGAATACCAAAGGGCAAGGCTGGGATCTGTGTAACGAATACTCCAGTGCTGAAGCTAATGAGAATGCCCACATTTGTATTTGATCAATGTCAAGTATAAAGCTAGTGATAGAAATGTAGCCGTGTTAGTCTGGGGTAGCTGAAGCAAAATGCAGGACAATGTAGCACTTTAAAGACTAACAAGATGGTTTATTAGATGATGAGCTTTCGTGGGCCAGACCCACTTCCTCAGATCAAATAGTGGAAGAAAATAGTCACAACCATATATACCAAAGGATACAATTTAAAAAAATGAACAAATATGAAAAGGACAAATCACATTGCAGAACAGAAGGGGAATGCGGGGGGGTGGGAAGGGGGAGGAAGGAAGGTAAGTGTCTGTGAATTGATGATATTAGAGGTAGGGAGAGTGGGATGTTTGTGAGTTGCTGTATTTATGTCTATTATTGGTTAGGGATAACAGAAGGCAGCATCCCGGAGTCATGGCGCTCACAAGCACACACAGGCTGGGGAGAAGTAATACAGCATGCAAGTAGTGCAGTCAAATGGCACTTGGCCATGCCCTGAGAAAAGTATGTTGAGGTCTTCCCATTCCCAACACAGCAGAAATGGGTCTTCTAGAGAGACTTCTATGTTGGAAGGATCTATTGGATGAGCTCAGGAAGATAATAACAAACATAGGGGGCTGCAGTGAAGAAGGCTCAGTGGTGATCAAGCAAGATGCTCACAAACAGATGAAGCGAGGAGTGTTGGCAGAGCAGTGGAATGATGTTGAGGAAATATTGTGGGTCTGAGCTAGGGATGGTTTTGAGGCACAAGACTCCCTGTGACAGCTGAGATTTTTCGAAAATGGAAAAGAAGTTCTGACACTTTGCAGGTGGTATTATTTTTTTTCCCTTGCACATCTCTCTCCAGGCGCCATTTTGCTAGTAACCAAGGAGGCTCTGCAAAGCAGAGTGTGCCGGTATCTCAAATGACACACTTGATGTTTGCCTGATGGATACTTTATCACAAATTACAAGCCCTCCTCCCAAAATGCGACAGCAATACTCATCGATTTGGAGGTGCAGAGCCAAGCCTGTATCGAATCTCACTGCTTATCATATTTTAGAACCTATGAGTAGCCTATGGTGCTGGTATTACCTCTTGCGCAGATACAAGGTGGCCACTGTAGGTGCAGTGCAGAGTCCTTTAGCCCAGCCTTCGCAATCAACAGTGTATACAAGGAGAGCAGGGATTCTCATTTAACTCCCTCCAACAAGAATTGATCCACGTCTCTTTAAACATGGCACCCTTGGAATCAGCCCAGTTTGGGACCAGACTGGGCCCTGTTTTGGCAAGGACAGGTACGTTTCAATCCAGCTTTGTGAACAGCAAGGACAGGTACGTTTCAATCCAGCTTTGTGAACAACAGCTGTTGCTCAGTGCCCTGTGCCTTATACAGTGCACTTCCCTGGCTCTCTCCAACAGAAAAATACTTGTCTCATGCCCTAAGTCCTTGTCAGCCTTCAGACCGCTCTGCTATGGGCTAGATTAAGAGTAACCAAATGCAAATATACATGGAGGAGGAGCCGGGACAATAAACACCTCCTCCCAACATGTGCATCCCCCCACACATAATCCCAGTCCTTGCACTCCCTGCACGAAGGAGCTGAACCAGGTTTAGGCTGCTATTAGAAATGGAGTAGAAGGGTGAGGACAGAGCCCTTGGCCCTTTACACAGAGTCTGTACAGACCCTGCTCTAGGCTCCTTCAATGATTCCAGAGACATGGTGCTTCAGCGGGGGAAATGCACTTCCTGCCGCAGAACTGTGTCATCCAGAAACAGCTCCTACAGTCAGACATTAACTGGCAACAATAGTCATCCAGCACTACAATGGCTGCTGTCAAACTCTCTCCCTAAAAGCACTGGAGGTAAGAGTTCACCCTTACAAACTCCACTTCCATTCCAAACCTCCCAGTACTTTGCTCAAGGTAACAATCACGAGTATAGCATATACAAGTAAGGACATTCTCCTTGAATTACTGTAGTTCAGAATTATAGCCCAATCCGCTACCAGGAGAATTTAATCTCTCTCCCCTGCTTGCAATGAATCCTATCCAACAGTTTCTGTGGTCATTGAGCTTTTCCATTTCATTGTGTGTCATGGCTCAACAAGTAACGTCCGATCTGAGTCTGAAACATTAATTGGTGGCTGAACTCTAGTATGTTATTTCTTAAGCCTGCTATATGAAATGAGTTACATTAACATTACAGAACACATGTGGGTCAGGAAAAAAAAAGGTATATATTCAAGCTACTTTAAATAACCTCTGCCATTTGTTCCTTAAGTTTTCCTTAACATATCATTTGATAGCGCTGTTCCTCAGTTTCCCTATCAGATGCATAGGGATAACAACAATGAGCACAGAGGTGTTTTGAGGCTTAATTACTTACAGGGCATAATGCAGTCAGAGATGCTAAGAGGAGATGCTCTAAATGCAGGTTCTTGATTATTTTTTGTGATCTGTCAAAAAACATTATGTCGCAATAGGAGTGGGCTTGTGTTTGAAGCAAAGGGCTGAGAATAAAGAAGGGGTTTGAGATATAGTCTGGTTGGAGCAAGATTTAGCACTTGATCTCAGGCAAACCTCAGTGTTTCAACCTGCCTTGCTGCAAATCTAGAAAAGGCAAGATCTTACAGAACACAAGCTGTAAGCTTTGGAGGTTGATCTGTACTGGATGGATAAATGCCTTACGAAAAAAAGAACAGCCCTTTATGTACAACTAGCATAAAATACAGGTTATTTTGCCCATTTTCATTACATGATCAAACAGACTCTAGTGCTAAATATTCAATACCTCCCTGTTTTCCACAGCTCACAGAGAAAAAGTGTCACCCAGTACTTGAATAGCAACAGGAACCACATCTGTTGCAACACTTTGTGCCTTCCTTATTTCTCACAGAGGAAGTATGTGGCCTGTTTGGCAAGTGTCGTTCTACATGATAGGGTGAAGTTCACAACACACTCATTTGGCTGGCTGCTTCTCGACCTGATCAGCTAGACACTGCAGGCAGTATGAAAACTGGATCATGCCTGCTCTTTTCGTGAAGTGTCCTACGACCTGGAATACCATGCACAGCATTTAAAGGTAACTATTGTTTCCATGCTTTCAGGATAGCATTCTCTGCATATTGGGACAGACCTTCCATGCCTTATTCAAGCCAAAGACAGTAACCAGTGCAGAATTTGGACTTTATATTTAAAGAACCCTCAAAGAGAGAGTTGCAAGAGAGTCGTTAGATCCTCCAGTCCTTTTCCTTGCCATTGTGAGATGAGCAAAAAATTACATATTGCTACTGAAAATCTTAAAATAAAAGGAGATAGCCAGCCAGCCAATGATTAAATAAATGTCCACAAGCGATGGCCTATGAGAAACATCAGATATAACAGCAGGTTCTGTTAGCTCAACTGTCAGGAGTTGGCAATATCTTTCTCTGTGTTTTGCATGGTACTTGGATTTCTCCATGATTGTGTGTTTATACCAATTCATTATTCTGATGTGAGGTTTCCAAGTGCATGTTACATCCTGATAGATGCAGGCGCCTAAATTTTGAAAAGTGACAGGAACAAGGGACCCATAGGATGGTAAAATTAGTAAAATGTGTTGTTTCAAATGTGTACGTCAAGGCATGAAGAGTGTCCCGAATAAAAGTGACACGCTGCCCTATGTTTCACAAAGAGGTGTGCGATATAACCACACACTTCCCATGATTAAGTCTTTGCAAATGCAGGGGTTTAACAAGCAATAGATGGACGTAAAACACACAGCATATTATAACGATGACCCTCGCAATTCCTCATTTGAAATGCACTAGTTTATATTCGTTTCTTGGAAAACTGGGATTTCTGGGCAAACTTTGGGCAACAGCTCTTGGGCATTCTGAATATATTTTTGAATAATCCCTTGGACAGCAGACTAATTTCAGAAATGCAATGCTAAATTATGTACCCCAACATGACAGTGTCTTAAAACTTGATCCTGTGTGCGAAAGAACTGAATGGTACGTGCAGTTCTGAGCCAAATCTAAGATCCATTTCTATAGAAGCAAATATTTTGGTACAAAATCAGACTCAATAATTTAGATCCACAGTTTAGGTTGCTAAGACCCAGTCCCTCAATGAAATTGATATGACCTGACTCCTCGGCCTGTAACGAAGCCCTGCTGAAGTCAAAGAGGCTGCTTGGCCCCACATGCAGAGCTCATTGCAGGCCTAGGGTTGTAGTCCTTTAAATATCTGAGTTGTGGATGCAAGCAAGAACAGAGATGCCAGAGCAACCTGAATTGTGGCTATATCAACTTGCACTTACAAAACCATATATCCATGTAAGGGTGGCTGTGGAATTAAGACTGAAAATGAGACGCTTATAGTGTAATTCAAACTCTGTTTAAACCCTGAGTAATTGGTCTGTGTGTGGGGGAAAGCCACCCCTAAACCTGCAGACCAGGAGGCATGAATAATAGCCCCTCTGTGGCTGACATTCCTGTGAGCTGAAGTAAGATTGATACCTGAGTTGGATAATTTTATGAACAGGACAGTACACCAGGGTTGCCTTCAATAGCAGGGAACTGAACTTGATGTCTCAGGAGGTCCTCCTAACTAACAGATCCAACAACTCTACTTCTCTATGCAGGATTTTGGCTCACTGGAGCCATGTAAGCCTAACTTCTATAATCACTCCTTATCCTACAGTCAGTAGGCTCTCTGCACCACCTTTTTTGGGAGCGGCATAGAAACCTGTGAATGTAGTATACGGGGGATACATGCAACCCCTATGTAATTGCTCTGCCAGTGTTCCAAGCTGACACAAGGTTTACATGGTACATAATGCTTTGAGTAGACTCTCCATTCTTGAGTATATTTCATTAAACAATTATCATTTCATAGGCATTTAGTTAGAGTCCACTCATCCATGCTGCTATTCAATTTTCTTTTACTGGTACATATTACAGGCAAAAAAAAAATCATGGAAAATAGGTTTAATTGATTGTATCTTGATGCAATGCACTGTATGTAAGTACATATTGCTGATCTTCACAATCCCCGATTGTAATGAAGAATTATGCACGCCAACCCTCATTTAGATGAATGAAATAGTATGCAAGGCTGCTACTCATACACTCCACACTCTCTTAGCTTTACTCAAAAATACAGCATAAGCTGTGGTACAACCCAGCAATTTGAAAACACAATTATGTCCCCTCTGAACAAATTCCCTATCTGAAAAGCTCCCTTTACATTTTCAAATGCCTGCAAGGAAAGACGAGCTTCGGAACATGCCCCAAAGCGCATGGAAAGTGCCACGACTCTCACTAAGCACCTAATGGCAAACTAGATTGCTGCCAAATGAATTGACTCCCGGAGTGGCTTTTTGCACTTTGGATAAGTGAAGTA